GTGTGCATGCATGCACGTAACCACTCCCACAAACTCTTGAACTTCTGCATTGGCACATCCCAAGGGATTCCATATTGCTTCCCAGACAATGTTTAGGAAAGACCAGACAGCACGATACAATTTGCTCTCATTTTGGCTGTGAATTATATTTTCTTGCTGCTCACAATGTCTGGTAACAGTGTTTCTTTTGCCAGGGGCAGGCAAAATATGTCTGGCAGGCCAGATCTGGCACACCAGTGATTGCATCCGGCCCATGGTCAGGCCCTCACTAATTGATTGCATCCAACCTGTGGCTACCCTTGTGGTACTCCACATAGGGTTGAGCCCTGCCCTACTCCTGCTTGGGGCAGCTTGCCCTCTGTTCCTGCCACGTGCCCACTGGCCCCAGCCAGCATGCACAGCTTCCCAGCAGGGATGCTCTTGGTGTGGCTGCAGCTGCCTGGGTGCTGCTTGGCTTCCCCCAACCTCCAGCAGCTCCTCCTTTTCCTGCCCTTGCTGACTGCTCAAGGTGGCCACTGCTGAGTGGCTTCTGCTCCAGCATGTGGAGCTCCAGCTCCCAGCTGCCTTCCACCCACTCGGCAAGGTGATGAGCAGCCACCTGTGGGTAGAAGTGAGCTGGAGCCCTGCACTCTGGGGCAGGAGCCACTTGGCTGCAGCTGTCTCCTCAAGCCTGGAGCAGTACAGCAGGGCCTGGAGGAGGAGAGGCCACTGGAGGCAGAGGGTACCAAGCAGTACCCAGGTGGCTGCACCAGCACCTGCACCTGTAATGGATTAAACAATGTAACTAACTTCTGTTGTGGGTTGGCTCTTCTCTCACACAGGGAAGAAGAATCAGTAATGTCTGTTGCTCTCATAGGGCTCTTACACTTGTTTAAATATATGTGTTGTTACTAGAAGTGTACTGATATATTGGTTGCATATTGGATTGGCACTGATTAAGGGGAAATTTACATTATTGGCTTTTTTTGGCTGGTGGAGCCAATTAATGCACACCTATTAAATATAATTAATTACGTCTTCTGGGCAGGGCCCCGGACATCATGTGCATGCACATGGCCAGAAATGCAACCAGGCAGCGGAGAGAGCAGCTCCCTGCACGTAAGTCTGTGGAGGGGAAGGAGTGTGGCGGGGGGCAGATCAAGCCCCCCACAGTGAGGGAGTGGGGCTAGGGGTGCTGTCCAGCCAGGGTGGTGAATGGGACCCAGGGCAGGGAGCAGGAAGGAGCTACAGGCAACTTATCATGGGGGTACAGGGTCTCCCTTCCTCTGTATGCACCTGCCAGGGGGGCATTTACCCCCCGATTTGTGCGCTGGGTAGATGCGGGCTGTTTGCTGTGGGCTCAAGGCTTTCCATTCTGCTATCTTACTCCTGAGAGCCCTACAGTGGCCACACATCCCCTGCCCCACCGGCAGCAGTGGGGGCGGTGAGTTGTGCCTCCTGCTGCCGGTTGGCCCTGGGGCATGTGGCTGGTGCAGGGCTCCCAGGGTAAAGGCAGCAGACCAAAGAGCCCCAAGCCCACAGTGGGCAGCCTGTATCTGCCCTCACTCCACTCAGCTGTGCTCTGCTTAAAAGCATCCCTGTGCTTAAAAATGGTGACAGCAGTACTTAAACTAAAGCTTGTTCAATGAGCTTTAGTTCAAGTGCGCCCACCGCCATTTTTAAGCCCCTGGATGCTGATCCCCTGCCTGCAGCTCTGTCCTGCCCCAGCCCTAGGTACCATTCACCACTGTGGCTGGGCAGCCCCTGTCACTGCCCCTGCCTCCCTCTCTCAGCTTGGGGCCTTGATCTGCCCCCCTCCCCCTACCCCTTTCCCTCCATAGACGTACCTGCAGGGAGCTGCTTTCTACACTGCTCACTGCATTCCTGTAAATCAGTTTTTGGATCAGTATCGGCCAATATGGCTGGTTAATAATTGGCTATCTATTAAAATCTTTATCAGTGCACCCCTAGTTGTTACATATTTTGACTTGGCCTTCTGTTGTCAACATGCACCTCACACATGCTGAAGAAGGTGAGGAGGTTTGTGAAGGCCCTTAGTTCCACAGGCTTGGATCAGCCCTGAGAAAGTGCTGTCAGCTGTGGACATAAGCTCTGCTCTTCTACAAGCTTCATCCCTGAACCTTTAGATCAAAGGCGGGCAATTATTTGGGTTGGCAGGCCACTTTATGAGTTTTGTGACCTCTCAGGGACCACACCGCTCCCTCTCCTCCTCCCCATCCCTCCCTCCCAGGGCTGTAACAAGTATGCAAGCCTGAGTTCTGCAGCATTAGCAAGCCAACTCCCCTTCACCCCCTCCAACAGCCAGAGTCCACCTGCAGTTTTAGTGCCTCCCCAAGTCCAGACCCAGCAGCTGCTGGCCACATCTACAGCTGCCCAAACATGGCCAGCGGCTTCCAGGGGGTGGGGGGCATGCTACAGCTGTGGGTGGGCTCATGCTTTCATGTCTGGGCTGGTGGCAGCCCCGGCCCAGAGAGAGCGAGCTCCCAGAATGCTGGAAGCAGCAACTTCCACCCAGCATCACAGGGCTGCCAGACCCGCTGCCTGCCCATGGGTCGGAGCCATTCACTTTGCAGGCACCTGTCCGTGGGCTGGATCCAATCAGTTGGTGGGCCGAATTTGGCTGCGGACTTTATTTTACCCGACCCTGCTTCGGATCGTCACCTGGTCAACTAGGGTCAACCATGATGTGCCTGATGGATACTGACTGAGGCCTACTTTGGTCCAGCCGGTATAGTGCTGTACGTTGTCATCACCAGTCAATGATGTAGCTAAAAACCTTGGGAGCCACTACAGCTTTTACTTTCTGAAAAACCTAGGGGACAAGTAAACTACCTTTTTGTCTGATGGTAAACTAAGACCAGAAAAAAACAAAACCATTTACCTTTTAGCTTTCATGGAAGAAACAAAGTTCTTCATCTTTTTTTTTATTTCCAAAGTGTACTTGGAATCTTTATGGAGGTGACAATTATTTTTTTCCTTATGCAACTTTGCATAAGGTAATTGGAGGTATGGGGAGCTGGTAGGAGGATTTGAGTACTCGTAACTTGGTAGTGCAGTCTTGGTAGCTAATCCTGAAGCAGTGGAAAGATAAGGAATGACTGGCAGGAGCTATAAGTGTGTGTGTGTGTGTGTGTGTGTGTGTGTGAGAAAAAATAGGATGATGCTAGAGAACTTGGAGAACACTTAGGCTGAAGGAAGGGGAGGATAGTTCTGCAGAAGTTGAAGACTTTTTAGGAAGCAAGTTATATAATTAAAAAAAAAATTCTTGGATACTATCTCCAGGATATTTGTTAGAGAGGGTGCAGTCAAATGTACATATGGTGATTGGTGGAAGAGGTACATTTTAGTACGAGTTCAGTCCGGAAATGTGGAAACAGCCAGCGCCTTTTCACTCTGGTAGAGTATACTGGAGTCATCTCTTCCTGCATAAAATTAGTGCAAAACGGTATTGGCCTGCTGTGGTAGCATATTACACTGACTGCACTAGTGCAAGTGACTACGGGTGGCCATGGACTCTGTTATTCCCCTTCTCCCGAATTACCTGTAATTAGTGTGTATGAATATTCATGCTTCTCAGGAACGTAATAATCTGTCTAGAGCCGGGACACCTTGCATGTTCTCAGATTTTCAGGGTAATTATTTATTTACTACCATTTTGATGACAAATCACTGCTTATGGTTTTTCTTTTCCTTGGTGTCAAGTGGTGTGACAGAAATATGACTCGGCTTACAAAACACTACACAGAGCGTGCTGAAGAAAGAAGAATTTTATTAGGTTGTTATTCACAATATGTCTCGCTGCCTTGTTGAAGGCAGTGAATATCATCAGAGAGGTTGAATATACAGCATAGACATCTCTGTTAGCAGTAGAATCAAAATCTGATCCCCCTTTCTATGAGGAAGGCAGAGAAACTTGAAGCCTGCAGGATATGATTTCACCTTTTATTTTTCAGATAAGTATTACATTAGGTCACCTGATCATAGTCTGTGGGGATGGACATGTCTTCTAAACCCTGTGACAGTACATATGAACGGGCTTCAGCAGAATAGCTGAGCTTTGGCAATTGCCATCGCAGAGGGTGTGCCAGTGAAGGCCGCCCTTGCGGTTCAGCTGAGCATCGTAACAGGAGTCGAACCACCAGCCCCCTCCATGCACATCTGCACAGTTTGTGTGACTTGATCTGTCATTATCACTATCCTTAGCTGAAAACCTCATGTTATCGTGCATGTTTTTAGTCATGGGAGAGCTGAGAGAGTCTCCTGCATTACCCTCATACATCCCTAACTTAAGCTTGTAAAAATCACCCTCGTCTGCCAGAAAAAAGCTGTCATACTCTGCATACCGTGCCATGCCATTGACATTAGTTAAATCTATCCTCACTTTGTACAATTTCTGCTTGGTGATGAGGTGGATGTACTCATTGCCAAGCCAGTGATCCTCTTCCAGGTTACCAAAGCCATACTTGTAGGTTGTCCAGGCCTCTGTCCATGTGATCTCCGTGTTATGGCTGTTTCTCTGGATCACTGTCCACCCATTGCAGCCATCCATGTAGCACTGCACCACGAGCTTGCGGCTTCCTTCAGGCTGTATGATGTAAAGGCCACTCATGGTGTGGCCTGTCTGGAAAAGTTCTTCGCAGTCCTTCTTGAAAGTGAAGTGGTAAACTAGGGAACAAAAGGAGATGAAGGCCAGTGACTTCTAAAACTCAAAAGCTAATTGCTTTCCATCTGCTCGGAAGGAGCTTCTGTCTAATAGGAGGTCAAGGCTAGAGTGCAAAAGCTGAGTCCAACAGAGACCTGGGATTGCAATAAACTCCAGAGCATTATATCAGGTTGATCCCCAGCGTGACTCCAGTGGAGTCCTCCGAGTCCAACCTAGAGTGGTGGCAGGAAGCAGAAGCTGGAGGAGGGATGGGTGGCCCAGACACGCCTGGGGGGAGCAGGTGAAAGCAGGGGACAGCTCAGGGGATCAGCACCTAGACTTGTGTGGAGTGCAGGGAGCTGAGGCTGCAGGAGCCGGCACTGGGCCGCTGGCTGGACTTCCCTGATAAGCCTCGCCAAGTGCGAGGTGGGCTGGTTTGGTATGAAGCAGTTGCTCCATGCTGGATACAGGGCCCAGAGGCAATGAAGCTGTCTTGAGGTGAACTGCAAGGAAGTATGTGTGGTGTTAAAAATAAATGAATACAGTTGCTTGCCCATTAGAATTGCCTTTTCTTCAAAGTGCCTGCAAGCAGCGCTGTTACGTAATGCTCTCTATAGTATAGAGAGGGTGGTGGTAATGGATTTACTGTCTCCTCTGCTTTGCAAGCAGAGCTGAACTATTCAAAGACCTGCTATTGTTGCAGCCCTCAGCTGCTGTCCAGGTAACTACCTTTGACTCAGACAAGTCAGTAAGTGCAATTTTGCTCTTTTAAAGGCATATGACCTTGCTTTCCTAGGAGAGGTTTCTTGCCAATCAACCTTCACATTCCTGCATCTCTGAATTCTTACGCTGCATCCATCCCCTTACCCTTGAGACCTGGCTGCAAAAAAGAAGCGGAGTCCAAACAGAAACTACAACAATTCCCACGCATTCTGGGATGGCTTGGCTCTTGCTTTCCTCTCCCAGGGAAAGCTGAAGCCTTCTCTGTCAGCTAGCAATTTCCTGCAGAAACAGCTGACTTGAATATTGCCAGCCCCAGTTTAGGTGAATGGACTCAGTATGCTACAAGGAACAGTATGGAGCCTGCACTGAAGTCAGTCCAGTATAGGGAATTCCCCTTGAAGTCAATAGACGTTGCAGAGATTGATTGCAGAATAAAGCCCAGCTCATAACTGAGATAAGGACATTTCCCTGTGCAGAGATGGTTACTCTAAGGGTGTAGATGCAGGTAAGTTTGGAACCATTTCAAAAGAGGCACATTTCGGAAGGCAGCAGCTGGTATGTACTTTCTAATTGTTGCGTGTGAATAAACAGAGAATGATTCAAATGTGTCAACACTGCTCAAACTTTAAACCTAGATGAAACAGAGGATACAAACCAGTAAGTCTTCAGGCCAGATCATCTTTCTTTTAGACCACTGTTTCTAAACCAGAGTGTTGCAGCACCCTGGGATGCCTTGAGATCCTTTCAAGGGTGCCACATCATGTTAGCATTGTTAGGTGTGCAAACATGATGAACCCAGAGATTTCAAAGGGGAAATCCACAACGTTACAAACATTATAATGTTCTTTCTGAGTTTTTTGCAACAGAAAAAGTGTTCTATTCTTTTTCTGTAGTCAAGAAAACAAGGGAAGACTAAGAGGTGGGATTTTCCAAGGGTTGCCTCAAGTCTAACAAAGGTGAGAACTGCTGTTTTCAACCGAGTAGAAATGGAGTGGACTCCTGTTAGTTTCTGAGTCTTGTTGAATGTGTCAACCATTGCCCTCTAGTGAAATGAAATGGGAACACCCTGCCCAGATGGAAAAAAGCCCTTCTGTGATAGCAGGTGAGCTAATGGAGCTCACTCCTCAGGAAATAAATCAGCTTGGGAGATGGTAGTCCCCCATGGTGTGTGGGACTGATGTGGAGGGCAGCAGCTGAACGGGGGATGTCCTGATCCAGAATCCGATTTACAAGAGACACTGCTTCAATAATGAGGCAGCTGTGTGCTGAGCTGTGGGCCCCATTAGGTTGCTGGCGGAGCTCAGGTTGGGAAGAGGCGATGTCAGGAGCTGAGACTGTTTGCCCACTGCCTATAGCAATAGCAGCTGTGCAATGCCTGTCATGACAGCCAGCATGTGTGACTGGCATGGAAGGAGCAAATCAACAAACATGAATCAAATTATAACTTCCTGCATGGATTGCAGCTGACGACAGCCGGCTTTCATTTAAGGAGCTGTTGCAAAGAATTCATTTCACATTGAGAGCTGCCACATGCAGAAAGAAGTTCTCTGCTCCCTTAAATGGACTGATGATGCCTCCATTAACAGGTATAGCTGGAAGATGTGGTGTACAGTTAACTAAAAGTTTGTTAACCTTGGAAGAAAAAACATGTGGGGTCCCATGAGAGAGGGAGGACTGTAGAGAAGAGACCAGAGGCTGATTTTGATGGTGGCAAATTCAGATGATGAAGGGCACACGAAAAAAAGAATAAAATAATCATAAAGGCAGGTGGCTGGAGCTCATCTCACATGCCAAAAGTAGACATGAAAATGCTTGGTGAATAATCTGGGGGGCACTTTTTTCCTCTCTCTGTGCCCCAGATCTATAAAAAAAAAAACAGGTAATAATTAAAGCTGTTAGGAAAATACATGCCCCCCCCAATCAACTGTTGCATTTTGCGCAACAAAAAAGGAAATCTAGAACGTTACAGTTGAAAGCCAAAATATCCCCAATCAGAAGCCCATTGACAGCCAGGTTCTTATTAGTCAGACTACATCTCCCATGATGCACTGTGGTCTCCCCCTCCTGGTGAGGGGGACCAGCACATTTTAAGAAAGGATCATGGCCAAATTGGTGAATGAGAGCACAAGTGCCCCCCCGAGGCACTGCTCGGCATTTCAAGATAAACGCCTGGATTTGCACGTGTTAAATTGGTATTTTCTGCAGAAAGCAGGTTCTTTTTTTTGTGACCCTACGATCTCCTCCTATCTTTAAATGACCTTCTTATAGCAGGGTACTTCTAATATAAGTGAACGATAGGGGGAACAGTGTTCCTTTTGCTGTACACCCAGACTCCTGTTGCTGCATACACCATAGAAACACATATACTAACTAAGATGATTAATCTGTGCAGTGATGTGTAAAGGACTGCAGGTTGCAGAGGTCGCTGTGTCAATGGTAGTTTGCCGGTTGGCCTCTTTAGACTTTGCAACTGCCCTGTGGAAGTGCTGAGGATTGTTCTTCTCACAATGAGGATTGTACTTTATTTTAAGCCTGGGGTACAGAAGTGCTCAACGCACTACAGTGAAACCATGCATCTTTTTAAGCTCCCTTTCAAAGTTCATGAAGTTCCAACTGCACAGCACGTGAAATATTAAAAGACATGTGCAAAGGGCAGTTAATATCTAGAACATTTTCCACTGGTAATTTGGGTTAGTCAAGGAAGCGCAGACCTGCTGGCTCCTGCCAGATTTCATTTCTATCACCAGAATTTTCCAGCTAGATTGCTGTTTCTTCCCCTTACTAGGTTTCTTTGCCTTTCTCCTTGCCGGGTCACTGCGTGGCTGCACTGTTTGCTGGCTCCCCTGCCAACCATTGCATGTTATTTAGGGACCGCTATGGAACTTCATTCCCCAGGTGACATCCTTTCAACCTGAAATGCTGATGATCCCTTCACCTTTCTTTTGAAAATGAAGGGCTTATTGTCCGAAAAGGGAGAATTGCTCAATTTTTTGTTAAGGTATTTTTGGAATGAGAAATGACCTGTTGACAATTTAGAAAATAATTTATTGATTTTTTCCCCCCAGTTTTTTCAAGGAGAAGCAATAAAAATGGTAGAAAATAAACAATTTTAAAAACATTCAAACATGTTTAACTGAAAATTATTTGGCTATGTGGTTTTGTAAAGAGGATGAAAATGAAAATATTTCATAGATTCATAGATGTCAGGGTCGGAAGGGACCTCAATAGATCATCGAATCCGACCCCCTGCATAGGCAGGAAAGAGTGCTGGCTTCGGCTAACCCCAGCCAGATGCCCGTCTAACCTCCTCTTGAAGACCTCCAATGTTTTGTCTGTGCCATTTCAGAATGGCACAGACAAAGCATTTGGCATTTTGTGATCACTTCTTTTGAAGATACTGTTTTGCTTCTGTTCTTGTCTCTAGTGGTGGCTGTCTCTGCCTGCAGGAGTCATTTCTTCTCCTGGCTTTCCAAAGCTGCTGCCTCTATCAAGTCTTAAGGAGAGCAGCTGAAGTTAGGTAGCAATCACTAAGAGTGTGTGTAGATGAAATGGGGGCCCTAAAATGGTTTGCATGCTTTGGCAGTGTGGAAAGCGTTTAAAAACTCACCGCTTGTATTTAGAGTGTGGCTGCAGCTGGAGTACTGCATCCAATTCTGGGCTCCGCAATTCAAGAAGGACGTGGAGAAGCTTGACAGAGTGCAGAGGAGAGCCACGCACATGATCAGAGGGCAGGACAACAGGTCTTATGAGGAGAGACTGAGAGCCATGGGACCCTTCAGCCTGGAAAAACGCAGGCTCAGGGGGGACCTGGTGGCTGCCTATAAGTACGTCAGGATCTGGGGGAACGTCTGTTCACCAGAGCGCCCCAAGGGATGACGAGGTCAAACTATCACAAACTTCTCCAAGACTGTTTCAGGCTGTACATAAGGAAAAACTTCTTTCCTGTCTGAGCCCCCAAGGCCTGGAATAGACTGCCCCCAGAGGTGGTGCAAGCACCTACTCTGGACTCTTTTAAGAAACATTTGGATATCTACCTTGCTGGGTTCCTCTGACCCCAGCTGACTTCCTGCCCCTGGGGCAGGGGGCTGGACTCGATGATCTTCCAAGGTCCCTTCCAGCCCTAATGTCTATGAAATGTATGAAACCCCTGTCATGCACACACCCATACTTACCTGCCTCTCCAGCGTTGGGGAGGGGATAGTGAGCTGCCAGCAGGCTGAGTGGTCCTTGAGCCAGGGGGGCAGTGCTTCCCTCCACAGCAGCAGTAGTCCCCCCGACCTAGGCGGCACCTGGCAGCAGG